GGACCAGTTGGAACGGGATTTGAAAAATAATCACAACATGCGTGGCATAACTGATGAATAGCCTTTCACAGAACATATGCGATTCCAGAAAGCAGTAAAAAGCATCCGTTTTTTGTCAAACTTCTAGTTAACACGTTCTTTTCTGTGCAAGTCTCAGGCTTGGCGATTGAACGAGATGTACATTGTTTCTGGTAGACCCCTTGGGTAGGCCAGTGCTAATTTCCTTTTAACTTATTTGCTAGAGAAGACTCACCATGGATGTCACAACAACGTCATAGTTGGCTTTTATGGCGCGAAGGTAGCCGTTGGCGCGGAGCAATGCACGAATCAGCTGCTTTGCTGCAAAATAACCTGTGGCGATTGGCTGTCGTCAGTTGCGTGGGCGTCGCGTCCATTTCCTTTCACCACTAGAGGCAGCGAGCAAAGTCAAACAAAGGCGTGGTCCGCTGGGAGTGGTGGGTGGTTGCTGCTTGTGGGTAACGTTTGCGCATTGCTAGTCAATCACTGGAAAGGGGAGTCACTTTGTTGTGGTTTTGGCGAAGTGTTTGTTGTTGTGTCTACCACATAGGTAGGGAATGCACTGATGGTGCGCATATCGTCAAATACCTACCTGTTGGTCTGAACAGCGGTACAGTTCATCGTTAGAAACGTAGCAATGCTTGTTTTGTAGGAAAGGAAGAAATCCTAGAAGTCATGCAATTATTAAAGAAAGCCTGAATTATATGTCATTCTGTGTCTTTCTTTTGTGCAAATTAAAATGCCTGATTATAACAGCATTTCGCTTACACTGTTGGGGTTCAGGTGCTAAGCCAGCATACTTAGCATAGGCAAGGTGTCAAAAACAATGGTTTTGTTGAAATGATTGTTGGGTTGTGGGTATTTTTAAGTATTAGTCGAGGAGCTAGAGATATATGCCTGCCCTCCCTATGCTCAGCAGATGAACACAGCATTTGCATATCAGTGGGTGTGGGTCATTCTGGAGTGTAGGTATACATTGCTACCTAATGTTAAAAAAGAGCATTGTACATCATTTGTCTTGTTTAAGACAGAACATATTGTAAAAATCACAAAACAGGTAGGTTCATGCTCCTACCTACAAATTTTAATACTTATGATAGCGAGCTCCCAATCGCCGCAGACACTAGACGACCTGACCCTCCAGTGCCACTGCTATGTTATCATGCGTGGTAACAACATTACTGCACATTGAGGGCCATAGAAAATATACAGGGCCAAGGGAACAATATTGATGCAAAGAAGTATGTTTCTTATTGTATGTAGGTAAGTTTATGAAACAGACAGGCCAGGCTAAATGAGGACCTAGCCATAACTAGCCTAACCTGACCTGACCTAACCTAGCCAAACCCAACCTAACCTAACCTAACCACCTAACCTAATTAACCTAACCTAACCTAGCCTAACCTAACCTTCCCACCCTATCCCCTTCAACCCAGTTGTCCCATTGGCATCCATGTTCCATGCCATATATACATACCGCATTAATAATTTTTTCTGCCACCATATTATTTTGTTTTTCATTCCCACCCAAAGACATCATATTTGCCTGCCATGTCAACCAATCTAGAAACAATACAGAGGACTGCTTGGACATGCAAGAAACATATTTCATTGGGTTCCTGTTACCTTGGCCCCATACATTTTTGTGATTCTTGATGCTCAGTAATGTGACCAACCATAGCAATGGTGCCAGGGTCGCAGTTGCTGTGTTTGCAGTGCTTGGATGTTCGCTATCATAGTTATTTTAGTACCAAGGTAAGGGTATAGATGACCTGTTTTGCTATTATTTATGTTTGGCCTTAAAAATGACAATTGATGTGCAATGTTCCTTTTTAACATTAGGTACCAATGTGTACCATGACCATGCTGCTGGTTATGATTGAAGCAAACCTCTGAGCAAGGCATGGAGAGATACAAACTTAAAAGGTATTGCATGAATATGTCAGCAGAACAAGATTCATAAATGTGATGCATCCACTGACCAGGCATGTGCTGGAAGACAATCGGGAATGATCATAAGTTGTCAGTCAGCCAATGAATGGCCCATTGAGGTCAATCAACAGTGCTATCTTTTGTGACCTTCAGACTTCATGCTTTCATTATTGTGTGAATATAGCCATTTGATTTGTAGGGTAAGATGTTACTATTTTACTGTTCATTGGTATTCCATGGCTTAAGTCACCTTATGTAGACAGCTTTACCATGAAAGGAGCTTTACACCAAAAGGTATTGTCTTTCATTTGTTGTCACTACCATAGACAACTAAGATGTTGAGATATTGAAATGTGTGAAGCCAATACAGATGTCCATGCATTTTTCTATGCCTGCCACAGCTGTTTTTGAGTTTAAATTTCAAATGTGACACTGCACCTTTGTAGATATAATTGTGGACATTTTTGCTTTCTTGAAAAAGTGGACACATCTGACCTACCAGTGTGACAAACACTGGTAGGTCAGAGGTGTCTGCTTTTAGTTATATGTGTCATTCAAGTGGTGATCTGTGGTATCATCTTTACCCCAGCTCTTGGATAATGGCAAATTGCCATAAATCATGGGTGTTTTGCTGTATATGGGGTTATGCTACAAATCCTGCAGTGTTTGACATGTTCATAGTGCTACTAGGAGCCACTTTATAATTGCTGACCTCAAATTTGACAAATGGAAAGCACTTCTACTAGCTCCAGGTTATTATTTTCAATAATTGAGTGATGGTGTGATCTATAAATGGAGAGAGTGCAGATTGTGTTGTGTGTTGAAGTCACTTTGACCACTTGTTATTTTCCCTGCCTGGGATGGCTTTCAGCCAGTGGTGGCAGCTGTGTGTAAGGTCAGGTGATGTCAAAGTGACAAACTATACCAAAAAATGTGGCTCATTCACTGTCACATGGCCAATACTCACAATAAAATTATGCAATAGACCAGAAGCTTCATAAAAGCTGGGGTCAGGAGTCACACTACAGACACAGATGGGTTCAGATGGGAATCCTTCCATTCAGAGGGCTCAGATTGAATATGGAAAGTAGAAGATTAAAAAGCACAATGTGTGGTTTGTATCCAGCTCAATTTGATTTCCAGTTTTACTTAAGATATTGTTGACTGAAGATACAAGATCAGAATGCTACATGTGCTTGTGTGGGTGAAGCATGAGCTGCACTGTATGTACATATGTGATATGCTGTTTTTAATAACTAAATCAATCATGATGTGGCCTGTCTTTTACACATAAAGTGCTTCATTTATGCTTTGTATGTGTGTATTATCTTGTTTAGCTGTCTTGATTACTGTTAAAACTGGCAACACATCTGCCAATATATAAGGAGCACCAGTGATTGTAGCCTGCAGGCCTTTGACTTCCTGGAATTTTAATTTTTATCTCCCACATGGAAGATAAGCTTTCTACCCAGTGACCCATTTCATCTATCTTAATAAATACTGTTCTCATTGCAGGCAAATAGCAAGTTGAGGGCAAGGCATAATTTGTGGTGTCAAATTTAGTTGCTGTGTTAATCTGCTGTAGTCAAATAGTGTGAGTTGTTGATTTTTGTTACTGTTTACTGGCAGGTATGTGTAGAAATGATTTGCAGTCTCAACTGTACCTGTTTGGTCATGTATGTTGCAGATGTAAATCACATGTACAGAAATATATCTATATGCTTGTGCTGAGCAGATATTTTAAAATTGTTGAGCTAAATTTTCACAGGTGTTTTCTGCCTGCAATAATTTTCACCTGCAGTTTGCTATTGGTGGGGTATGCATGTGGAGCACAATGCATACTGTGTCTGATCTCAAACTTGCAGGGTGTGCCTGTGCAAAAAAGACTGGTGTTGTCAATGCTCTTTCATTTGTAAGCTAAGGTGCTTTTGGCTGAAAGGTTCACCTTTGCTCACTGCTTTGATGCATGCTGAAATAATTGTGGTAGGTGTGAGCCATTGGCTGAATATGGCTGCATTTGGGTTTGCACTCTATCAGTTGGCTGCTACCTAACTCTGGGTTTGGGTGTGTATGTCTGATGTTTACCTGTTCTGCAGGTGGAGCTGCTCCCATGACTACCATCTATTAAGTAAGGTGACAAAGTCAGGGTCACTAGTAGAATAAGACCTGTAGTTAGAATTATCTTCAGGGAGGGATGCTGGTGTAATTTGTTATCAACTTCTCAAATTTGAGCAAGATTCCCACAAAAATGTAGCCTAATGGTTTAAGTATCTTGGTCTGGGGGAATTGTTTCTGAATTCAGCTAGGTGTGTAGGGTGCAAAGTTGAAGTAAATTGTAAGTAATTATGAACCCACCTTTTGAATTTGTGTGATCTGTCTGAAGTGGGTGTCCAAGTTTTGTTTTTGCATGCATTAGCATTAGGGCTTATGTATCCTTGTTCTGTTGCACAGTATATCTTTGAATGACTTGGCTTGTTTTCAGGGTTTGAGGCACACCATGGCTGTGAGCTTATGACATGGTTAGTCTGAAGCCAGTGTCCCATTGTGAAGAAGACATTGAGAACTGTTTGACAGCAATAGCGGCTTGAGTGATTGTCCTGAGACATTTTGCAGGCATGCAATTTGCTTGCTGTGTTATGATAGGTGACAGCTCCTGAAATTGTCAGAGCTTTGATTTCCTGGTGTGCAGGAAAACAGTTTAGTTGTGCTGTGAGACATTGGACTTGCTTGTTATATGCATAGACTGGGCAGTGGACTCTGTAACCACCAAATTTCAGGACCACTCAGCTGTATCGCGGGACATGGACTCCGTAAGTTTTCGTTACTCACGCCTTGGCTGAACTGGTGTCCGCGTAGTGCCCCTGAACTCGGCTGATTTTCTTAGTGCCCGCCAGACGCGTATCGTTCCGCGCACGCAGCTGAAGCCAGCGATTTCAGTCGCGCGCAGTGAAGAGTCGTGTCCCATGCCATTTGGGCGAGGAACGGCAACGTACCGGTGCGTGGTGAGGATTGCGGGCACTGCTGCCGTCTCGCGTAGGACCCTCGCCAACTGTTTGGGAATCGACGCAGTGCAGCCTGAGAACTGCACATTCAGTACGGGAGTGTCGCCGGCCCGCGCGACTCGGACACTGCTGGTGACTTCTGGACCGCTGCCGCGCGCCTCTGGCGCCACGTCCAGCCGGCCCTCCGACGAGACGCATCCGTCCGACCACTACCAGCTCATCTCGATCACCACAGTATGCGGGAGTCAGCTGTTCGCCGGTCGCGGTGGCAACGCCAGGCCACCGCCTTGGCTCGCCGGCGCGCCCTGGCGCAGCAAAGGTGATCAGCCGGGAGTGACTGGCAGAGTTTGATGGCCCGCTGACGTTCTGCCCCATGCTACAGAAGTGTAAAGGTAGTAACTTCGTGACTGGTGTATGGCTAATAGAACAATGGGATAACAGTGGACAGCCAAGCTTCTGTATTCCGGGCATGCGATGCTTTGCGGCTAAGCTGGCGTCACCGGCTGTGCGAAAGCGTGGCATATGTTACATCTCAGGCACAACTGGACGGGGAATGCTTCTCAGCTCTACGATTAAGCTGTCGAAGGCATGCAACCTTCTTGGCATGTCAAAAGGTTATTAAGTGCTTGCGGTAGGGTTCAGTGCAGCACATCACAGCCATAGAATGTGAGCTGCTCTGCTCGTTTATAGCTGTATTGGGCGCAATGTGATGGCTATTGTTTCCAGCATATGTTGACAGCATGGTCCGCTAACGCTGCCTGCGTGCTTGTGTGTCTGTACCATGTAGCCCTGAGCCCGCCCGTGCCGTGCCGACCGAGCACGCTTCAGGTCCGGCGGCGGCAGCCCTGGATCGGGCCACCCACCAACCCACCACCAGCGTCACCAACAGGATGTCTGATAGCACAGGTACCATGCCTGGCTGTCTGATGTATGGCCGCAGCACCCGCAGATACGTGACCCGGTGCTTATGAAGCGGGGGTTGTTGGGTGTTCACAGAAACGTTGATTTCATGTCATTTTCCAGTAACTGTTTTTTTGTGCCATGTGATGTGGACACAGGTGGCTGCCAATTGAGATAGTGGTGTAGTTGCAAAGGTGTTTCTATCTTGTGCATTGGTTGGTGCGTGCATAGGTGTTGTTCCCCATTCACTTGGTGGAGGTGACTTTAGCATTCTCCTATTTGGGCTCCACCTCCCTCAAGTTTTAGCATAAAATGATACAAATCTGTGGAAAACCTGCTGTTTGGCATATTTTGGATACACATGGAGAATTTGTCATGGTTTGACCCTCTGCCCCTAACCCGTGTTGCAAAATTGCGTTCTTGGACGACCGTGGGAGGCTACACCCCTGGGTGAGTAAGGGGTGTAGTTCTTGTCCAGATGGGGAAAGGGGCTTCAGCCCTTCCACTCACTTTGAGAAGAAAGTGGGCATAATACTAGGAAAAACCTGTTTTTTGGCACCCTAAGTGTGCAGGCTCGGTCATTTTCCCACATTCAGCCCCCCCCCCCCCTTCAACTCATTTTGCGATGTTGCGCCCCTCTTGCGAGGGACGTACTGTTTTTGCCTTTGTGTTACCTGTTGAGCATTTTCTGATAAGAAACCATGTGCCCATTTTGTGACAGACTCTCCCCATTATGGACCCTGTGTGCGACCGTCAGCAGGAGGGACAACGGGCACCAGACTCTCAAGAGCTCCTGATCATGAAAATGAGCCGGTACATTCGGACAGCGATTCCTATGCATCTACGGTATGTCTTACGATCTGCTTCTGATAAGTTCCTCATTATAGGGAGCTTGGGTGATGTGACATTTGAGTCTTAGCCCTGACACTTCACTCCAATGCTGCTGGCTCCAACCATATGTGAACTGTCATAAACTGTGTGTCTTTTCTGAAAGTTCTTCACAACACGAATTCACTGGCAGACACTCGAAAACCGTCATCGTTTTGCGTCGGTGTGTGCCGGCGGCGGCTGTCGTTCGAGCCGTATCGGGCTCGTAAGTCACATCACGAATCTGCGTGCTGCTGACCATGCTCTGCGGGCGGCAGTCTTCCGAGCCGGAGAGGGCGACGCTGCCGGGGTGCGCACCGCTGCCGACGGACGACTCTGGTGCGGCGGCCGACTCGGAGTCGTCGGAGACCGAGCGGTCATCGTGTCGCGCCTGGTTCTGCCGCCGGCCTGACTGCCGCCGCCTGAACCCACCGCGTTGTCTCTACTGCAGCTGCTGCCGCACGGTGAGGCGGGTTTGTGGACGCTGAGGGATGGTGACGTAGTACTTCCCCTGTCGTCGTGTATCGAACGGGACACGTGAGATAACTTCAGGTTTGCCAGTGAATGGGAAAGACGTGTTCTGATCATCGACTCTGTCATCACATGACAGCTGCCGTGTTCGTGACTGCTTCCGTCGTTCCGACTGCAGTAGAATCTGCTGAGGGCCGTTGTCAGCTATTACGGACTAGAGGTACCACTTTTGATCTGTTTTTACCTGCGTATTGCGGGCCTGTCAGGGGAGAAATCGAAGCCATGGTATAACGTTTTGTTGAATTGCGGGATTATAGCCTCATGTGTGTATGTATGTCTTTTTTTCCTAAAGGAAGTGTGCCAGGCTTTCATAGCATTTATTACACACACACGTTTTGGCGAGTTATTCGGAAGGATTTCTAGAAAACTAGTACTACTGATCAAATCAGACGCGTCTGACCTAATCATAAGTAAAACAAACAAACAAACAAACAAGGTGGCATACCTTTAATGATTCCCGTTGTAGTGTGCATCGTTTCAACGAAAAACCGGACGCTAGAATCAGGCACTCGTTACGTGCGGTACTCGGTCTCGTTCTACAGTAGAGGGCGGTGCTGAACGTGCTGTCCTCTTCTGGAATTTGTAGTGGGCGCTGTCATGGCGAGCTGACCCATACACTTCGTATCCGCTGTTGTAGGGCCGCGTCCGGGCCGGGTCCGATCCCGCGGAAGGGCGGTGCGACCCGCCCGCCGAGCCTCGGGAGGCGGCACGGCCAGCCGGCTCCTGCTGCCTAATGTGCCGGCGCCGGCCGGTCGGTGCCGCCGCCATCCTGCACGGTCGCTCCGCCTGTCAGAGCGCATGCCATCGGTGCGCGCGACGCCTCTGGAAGCTCGGAAGGCCCTGCCCGGGTTGTGGCCAACACATTGAGAAGATCGTCACCCTGTGGTACGCTTGAGCCAGGCTCCGCACACCGCCAGCGAAGCCGCTGTCGGCTTGTCCTGGTCCGGTTCTCCACGACGTCGTCCTGGTGGCCGCGTGATGATGCTCATCTTGACCGAACTCGAACTGCCGTTCTGTCAGAACACTGGACATCAGGGCCTTTTCACCATGGCCCGTAATGGTTTTTGCGCTCTTTGCAGCGCGGTGTCGATTATGAAGAGCTTGAACGGCTGGAGACGTCTAGCTGGACATTTTTGGAGGAGTGGAGGTGAACACTGCAGCTGTTAAATGTGATATGCTGCTGATCTCGAATGGCTCAGGGTGGATATCGTGGTGTGCTGTGCAGGCTGATTTGTGACCATCATCACCTACTGCCGAGCACATGGGATGGACATATGGAGGTGCTGTCAAGACCCACTACTAATCACCATGGACCACTGGCGAGCTGAGCTATCGACAATGTAGGCCGCTGTCCAGCTGAATTGCTGGCAATCTGGCTGCTGTCTGGCTCATGTGCTGGCAATCAGGCTGCTGTTCAGCTCAGCTGCTGGCGTTCGGACTGCTGTCTAGCTCAGCTGCTAGCCTGGGAGTGCTGTCAATCCCATGGCCAGTCATCCAGGACAGCTGTCCAACTGAATGCTGATCACCTGGAGCCTTTGTCCAGCTCCGTGGCTGGCCAGCCAGGACTGCCATTTAGCCGAACACTGGGCCATCACTGACTGCTGTTCTGTCAGGACTGGTGGCCATCATGGACTTATATCCAGCAAAACTGCTGGTCATCATGGACTGTTGGTGTTCTGGACTTGCTGCATGTCAAGTCCAGAACTGTCCAAGTCTGCTGTCAAGCTGAACTTCCGAAGCTGCCATCCAGCTCGACTGCTGGTCATCTGGGACTGCTGTCCAGCTCAACTGCTGGGCATCCAGAAGTGCTGACCAGCACAACTGCTGGTCATCTGGGATGTGTCCAGCTCAACTGCTGATCATCTCAAACTGCTGTCCAGCTCAACTGAGGTTGTCTGGGACTGCTGTCCAGCTTAACTGCTGGCCTGCCAGGGCTGCCACCCAGCTCAACTGCTGGCTGTCAGCTTAACTGCTGGTCATCCGGGACTGCTGTCCAGCTTAGCTGCCGGCCATCTTAAACTGCTGTCCAGCTCAATGGCTGGTTGTTCGGGACTGCTGCCCAGCCTCATGGCTGGCTATTCGAGACTGCCGCCCAGTCCGTGGCTGGTCATTCATCATGCTGGACTGCTTACTGGCACAGCCATGAACATCGGGAGAATGGAAAGGCCAGGCCAGCTCAACAACAATGGTATGTACCTCGGTCACTACCATGACCAAACTTGCCTCAAGCCTTTAGATGTTCAGATGAATCATTCTGTTTTGAGCTTTTTCAATGTAATTTTAAGATTTTTGCTGTCAATATACTTGCCTTATTGTGTTTCTCATTGTGGATGATCTATATCATGTAAATATTTGCCAGCCATTGTTTTTTCTTAAGGTATGCTTTTGCCACATTTCAGGAGAAAGTGTGCCCTTGTGACCCCATTGCAGCATTTCCAATGTTTTCAGGTTTATCTTGTGTATGTTCTGCTCACACTCACACAGGCACCTCACTGAGGACACCTCACTGAGGATACCTCACTGAGGACACCTCACTGAGGGTACCTCATTGAGGGCATGTCATGTTACCCTCAGAGATAAACATTGTAGGGGTGGTCCGATAATCTGCCTTTAAATCCAAACATATGTTTAATATGTGTGTAATGCAGGGGAGAAAAAGGAGGTTGAAGCAAGCCTTCCAGTGCAAGAAAACTTAACTAGTAAATGTGGTTGAACTTAGAGAGAAGCATTGAGAGAGAAGCATTTTCCTATTCTTGGGCCAAAGGCTGCTTACCAGGTCTTGACCCGAAACACTCAACAGCACTCAACATGCGGCTTTGTGTGGGGATGTAGCAACTGGCTTGACTTTGCAAGATACCGTTTACCGTCCCTTATTAGAAATAAACAACATGACACACCACACGACACGATTATATGCCTAATGATAAACACAGCATTTTGGCAGGTGAATCAATTCCACGGATGTTTGGAGGGGTAGCTATGGTGGCGATTTCCACTTAGTTTGAAACAACTGGGTTTCCTAAAACGTCATTTATTTGTTAAGTGTTCCCAATTTGTCTTCATTGCGAGGGATCTGGTGGTGAGTTGATCGTAAGTACATAACCGTGATGTGAATATACGTGTGGTAGACACGTCATGGATGTTCGACGACCCTAATATTTTCTCCCTATTTTCTGTGCATGCCTAGTGTTTTCATATCAACGTTTTGCTCCCTGATCTTCTGTGCGCTTATCGCTTCTTTCCGGCATTGCTATTTAATTGGATGCTAATGTATCCGTGCATTGAGTGGCATTGGAAGACGCAAGCAGAGGGGGGTTGTAGAACAGAATTATGGGACCTTTTGTTGAAAATAGCCCTTTTGGGTGTTCCAGTAAGCACTGATAAAACAAAGATATGCATTGGTTGGAATGTGTAAATATGTCGCTTCATTAGCGTGTGTCCTTCAGGATGGTATATGAGGACATATTGATCACGTGCAATCTTTGTTTTATCAGTGCCTCTTGGATAATGAGGATTGCCATTTTCATTACAAGAAATTTGGTATGAGAAGTTTACGCCAGAAAGGCAGGGCTTAAAACCTTTCTCACTTATATCAGGTTGATGAAACTAGCGTGACCGGACATGGTTTCACATGTGGCCTGCGATGCCCTTCGCTCCAATAAGGAGCGGGGAGGCATCAGACCAAACGTCTCGTCCCCGTCCTGGAAGCAGGGCGGGTGTCTTGCACGTGTTGTGACCTTGTTTTTTGGTGACTGTGCCGAGACGTGTGGCTGGATGGTTGTCCATGGTCTCCGTGCAGCCCGTTGTGAAGCGTGGCTAGTGGGTAGTGGCGATTGATTTAGTTTGGGGAAGGCACCGCGTATGGAGCTCAGCACGTGCAGGCGTGGAGGTCTCAACTGGACCGTTCCATTGGAGGCGAGTCGAGTAGCCCACTTTTTTGCCTTGTGTCTGCATGGCAGTATGTAGCTCCAGTAGCACTGGGGTTGCTCGGTTCAGCACGTTCCCTTTCAGGCAGAGGGCTAGGCGGAAGGTGCACATTTTGTTCAGCTAGGAAGACAGCTGCTTTGTGTATTCCAGCATGAAAAGTGGATTTAGCAGTACGAGTAGACCTGTTGTTTTGCTTGTGTCTTGTCCAGGGTGCACTGTGATGGCTAATGAATAAACTTCTTTCCAGAAATGCTTCTTTTTATGATCTACTGACCGAAGGCGGAAAGAGAGGCACCTTTGTGATGCCAGTGATGCGTGGATGGTTTGACACTATGTATGTGTATTCGGGTGTTCTCACGTACAAAATATAGTGCACGGAACGTCCAAAATGAGAGCAACTTTAAAAATGACTGGTTGGAGGCAGAATGTGCAATGAATGTGCATTGTGCACAGAATGGAATAGATTGCGCACAACGTGGAATGCGCGTAATGTTTAAAAGTACAAAATGTTCAAATAAGCAATTTTGAGTACAAATTTGGTTCCTGGAGCGGCCGCCAATGTCAATATTCACCCGTATTTACTGGCGGCAGCGCTACTGGAAGCATTTACCGCGCATATACAGTTTTCCGTTGCCATCACTGGGCGCGCGGCCCGCCGTCTGCCTCTGGCCGGTGACATATGCGATGGACAAGATGGCGCAAACAGGTATTTGTCTAATCACAAAGCGGGTGGTGACGGCAGCGATGTTACGAAGGCAACTCTACGGAAAGTTCGATGGAACTGGAGGGAGCCGTGCATGGGTTTTGCCTCAAGTCGGATTTTCACCCGCTTTATGTAGAGTGATGACAGTTACCGGAGCCAGTGCTTCAATACGGCGCGGCCACGCGCTGTCGGGGTAACAATGCAAATATAGACAAGAAATGTGCGAGTATGACGGCAGAACATCTTGCTCTCTTCGTATCGACAACGGCCAAACCATAAGCAGGAGGTGCTGATGACAAGGGAGGCAGTCGCGCATGTTTATCATCGAAGATGATGCGCTCTTGAAGGTTATGCGGGCAACCATTGCGATGAGATCGGCGTGGAAATTGGAAGCTCCTGCACGAGAACTGATTCAGGGATGGGCGGCGGGGTTATTCGAGCTGCGTTCGTACCGATTAGAGCCACAACTTTCTTCAAAATATCGGCCCGCAGCCCAGCCCGTCCTGCCTAGCCAGTGGTCGAGCCCTCAAAAGCCCGCTTTGCAGCAGTGCTAATCCGCGATTATCCCCAATTACTAATTTATTTCGAGCTGTTATAGGCGCAAAATGACCCTAGAAGTCGACGCGCCCTAAAACCCCAATCATCATCACTAATTTATTTCGATATGCCATAGGCAATATGATGTGAATCAAACCTTCTTCCCAATACCTGGCACCCACCCTTCTGCGGGGTACATACTTGCCATTTTCTTACCGCATCAAAGCCGCTATTTTTCAACGAAACAAGCCATGATGTTAACGGCGTGCCTTCTGGGATTTTCATTTCCTCACATGCCCTCGAAGGAACACCCATCATATCAACATTTCACTTTTCGACGCGATGGATGTGGTATCCTGTACTCCTGCGTCTGGGCGTTCCACGAACGCGGTGCGGTGTTTAAAAAAAAACCCGGTCCTCTTGGTTAATGGTCACGCAAGCACGGATGGACATCTCCTATCTCCTCGTCTGATGCCAATGCCAAACGCTCCGACTTCCCGGCTGTGCCCGCTGCGCAACCGCGCGTACACCCCATACGCGCGCGTACGCCCCGTGCGTGCGGGCGTATGCGGCTTAAGGATCAGCGCACTGTGAATAAGAGCTTGGGGTCCTAGGGGACTATTATAACGTCAAGTGGCACATTTCACGCCTTTCATCTACCTGAGTGCGTCATCGTTACAAAAATGCGTGGATTTTTCCTCGTTTACTCGCGGCTTGTTTGAAACTTCAATAGGCCTATCCTCTTCCAAAGAACATTTGCTTTAATTTGACGTCATGGGGCGCGACATCATCGCATTACTGTGGCTGAAAAATAGTGCTGGGCGCAAAATTCGTTCGGGCGAAAATCCACTTAATTGACATTGAAAGTTAATTACCCGTCATTTAGGTCCCCTGCAACCCCTGCTGCTCCGCCCTGGTATCTCCGGTCCTGTCTCCTCAACTCTCCGCTCCCATAGTCTTGGCTCTGCCGATGGGAGGGGACACAAAGGGCAGGTCCAATGGAATGTGCGCTCGGACCAGACCGTCCTGTTCCCGCAGGGAGAAGGGGATGACATCCAAGAAGGGCACGCGATGGAATGCGCTGGGGGGGGGGGGGGGGGGTCGGGCCGTCCGTCCTCGGGGTAGCCAAGGGCATAGGGGCTCAGCCATGGCCACGGGAAGTAGAAGAGCTTTTCCTCCTTGGATTTATTGCAGCGTCCCAGAATGGCTCCAACTAGTCCCGAGTGAGCAAGTTTTTCGACCCTGGTGCCAGCTTGGCTGCAGGTGCAGGTTCCGAGTGCGGCGCAGCACGACCTTCAGGTCGAATAATGGGCGTGATGCCGCGGGCTCCCATCGGCGGCTCTGGAGGGAGATGACTGCGGCAGAGACACAGACAGCATGTCACCTTACCGTTAGGGCTACCGCACCGTTGGCAGCATCGCACTTCTTGCTGAACATTTGCACGTTTCTATTAGTTTTTTCACGCGATGTTGCAGCATTTAGCCTCAACACGAGGCGTTGAGGTTAATCATGTCGCATCAGCCAAGCAAACGAGTCGGCAGTAGTATGGTTGGGGACGCGGATGTCTAGTATGGTTGGGGACGCGGATGTCAGTCGCAGTCACAGTACTAGAGCGAGGCCGACGCAATCAGTGTTCAAAGCAATCGCACTTGTTAGTGCACAGACTTCGCCTGCGTGCTTTGTTGGCGCAATACCTCAGTAATACAAGCACAATTGCATGCATGCTGTAAGCTGTGCGTGTCTGCTGAAATAATAGACTATCGGAATCTGAGTCAGCCGTCACTGTGGAACGAAAAGCGTGTGGCGCTTGGGGTTTTGCACGGTCGGAACAAGCGGTTCCATCGAAGCTGTACGGCAAATTTCGGCCGTAAAGGATGTTCCGGTTGAACTGTTCATTCTAGCTTTTGTGTACCCTTACCTGCACAGAACAAAAACGGATAAAGGGGCGAAGACTATTGCAGACATGGACGGAGTGGTAACGGCATCTTCAACAAATGCACAAATACATCTTGCAATATCGAATACTTTCCACTCCATATAAGCGCGGTCAAGTAAATTTTGCGATTGGCCAAGGTGGGCAAACACAAGCCGTTGTTGTAGGTAGTCCCTGGGCTGTTAGAAATCTTAAGTGCGTCAGCCTACCTAGATCCTTTGGTCACAATATGCTGCAACGTTTTTTTCGTTTGGTGGCTTTGTTTGAGCTGAGTACATGCAAAATCAGAACTGCTTGCTTGAGTGTTGTGTAGTCTCGGCGAATTGGATCTGGGAATTTTGCAAGGCTAACTTACAGGTAATTTGCCAAGCAAAACTGCCGGTAGCCTCCTGCAACAGGTCTCCATCGCCAAGCAGGAATGATCGATTCCGAACGAAAAGCCGTTTCCTGAGGAGGTTTTGCTCAGCAACTTCAAAATTACGTTTTACCTTATTAAGAGTTGAGAAGTGCGTAACAATCCTTGACACCGGATGCAGCAACGGTCCATACTTTTAATATTACGCTCGAACATGTGGCCTCACTTAGGTTTTGTGTACAAGGTGTCGGAGAACACCTATGTGCTAGCCAGTAAATGTTTGCGTAGTTTAGGGACTATAATTATTTTATTTGGTGCTGCATATCCAGTTTGCGATCACACAGCATTGCACGCTTCCGAGCTGATAACATATCCCGGGCAAACGCTTAAACAAAGCTTGTAGCGAGATGGCCACGTAGCCAGGACGTATATATCAACAAGCATTGATGCAATAGGTCAAACGTAGCATGCATGACCAAAGAAACTAGCGGTGTCCTAGAATTGCCGACTGGGTGTAAAGCAACACCCTATGAGGACGAATTTTTCATTCTTTTCCCCCATATTTTATGTGAATTTTTCACTCCTGCCAGACATTGTCTAATCGCACATGCCAAACCCCTATTTCCCTTTCTGAGGTTTTAAGATGTCATCCAAAACCGAGCTCACTTGAAACCACCAAGCATAAACAAGGCTTCGCAGAACCTGGACACCCATGACTATGTCCTGTCTCACCTGCATCTCAAACATGTCTGTTTGCGCAGAGCGAGGGCGCCAGGTACCTCCGAAGCCCAAGAACCCCAGCGACCCCAGTCGCTTGCACGCATTAAGTTTGGTTTGTTTACAAAATGCATCACAGTCTGCAGCTGTGCGCCAAATGCAAGGTTTTCACGTACATTTCACATACATCCCCTATTTTTTGGCCTCACCACCACACCACGAAAGCAGAGCTTGGTGCAAACACCAGCAAGGCCTGGCAGAGAATTTTAATCCACGCATTTCTTTTTTCCCGAGGAAACTTAACCACTAAATTGCATCACTCCCAAAGTGCATGAGTAAAAAGTTCAAGGAATGTCTTCTAAATTGAACTTGTGTTGTAAATTGAAAAAAGTGGTCCCTCATGGCTGCTTTAACCAAATGCTTTCTGTAGTTGTCATGGTTTGCTGACCGGCAAATGACTGTACTGTATATGTGCTCTTTATTTTTAACACAGGGATACTCCAAGCTGCATAGCAATTATGCTATGAGTTAAATATTGGTATGTAACAAATAGTCCGACCACCCCATTTAAAATGTGCAGCCAGCATCTCAAACTTTGTCATTATATATGAATAAACAAGCCCAAATGGATGCATTTGCTGCAGCTGAAAAGGCAAGCAGCAATACTAACATGGTCATCTAAAAGTTGTGCTATTTTTGGAGAACAGAAATTGTTTTGTGAAGCATATCCATTATTGCCCTTGACATATGCTAATCAAGAGAATCAAAGTAAGTTGTTCAAAGTGATTTAAAGTTTCTTGATTCGTGTATTGTCAACTTTGTCTGATGTCAACAAGCATACACAAGTGAACTTAATAAAAGGGTTAAGTTGAAACCAGCCAAAAACTAGCTTTAAATATCATGCTTTTATGACAAGTGCTGCTGTCAACAGATAGGTGAGCCGAGATGATGTTCATCATATGAGCTACTCTAAGTTGGGTTAAGCTGGTCAAGTGGCAATAGGGATTGTGCAAGAATCAGTAACTCACAACTGCTGCTGTGATACAAACAGGTTATAAAGGATGAGATGATGTAAGGCCTGTTTAGGTCAGGCATAGGCTACTTTCATGGAAATAAGTATTGGTATTTTGTTAGAAACTGTGACAAAATGTTTGTTTTCCCTGGCCCCATCTTAACGGAAGTGAGAATTATGTATATGGTGTTTGACTTGGTGATGGGCTGATGTGTAGGAGTCCAAGGCTCTTTTGTTTTATGCCAGTTGAGTTTTCTGTTGTTATTTTGTTATTGAATCCCTTTGCTTTGTTTTGTTTTAAAAGTGCTCTGGAGGGGAATTGAAAAGTGCAGC